GCATGATCTTTGGTTAGTGGATGGAGTTTAATTATAATAAAGTTGATTTATCCACAATCTGTCAGTCAAAAGAATCAGACAGAAGGGCAAACTGCAGACATCACCAGCAAATATTGAGCTCTTACCCAAGGGGGAAAAGGTTAGACTTGCTTTTGTTTCAGCTAAATTCACAGAAATCCCAGTAATGTGTCTGAGCGTATAACATAGCTCCACAGCAATAATACTCCCAGTAATGTGTCTGAGCGTATAACAGAGCTCCACAGCAATAATACTTCCAGTAATGTGTATGAGTGTATAACAAAGCTCCACAGCAATAATACTCCCAGTAATGTGTCAGAGCGTATAACAGAGCTCCATGGCAATAATACTCCCAGCACTGTGTCTGAGTGCATAACATAGCTCCACAGCAATAATACTCCCAGTAATGTGTCTGAGTGTATAATAGAGCTCCACAGTAATAATACTCCCAGTAATGTGTCTAAACGTATAACAGAGCTCCATGGCAATAATACTCCCAGTAATGTGTCTGAGCGTGTAACAGAGCTCCATAGCAATAATACTCCCAGAAATGTGTCTGAGTGTATAACAGAGCTCCACAGCAATAATACTTCCAGTAATGTGTATGAGTGTATAACATAGCTCCACAGCAATAATACTCCCAGTAATGTGTCTGAGTGTATAACAGAGCTCCACAGCAATAATACTCCTAGTAATGTGTCTGAGCGTATAACAGAGCTCCATGGCAATAACACTCCAAGAAATGTGTCTGATTGTAAAACAGAGCTCCACAGCAATAATACTTCCAGTAAAGTCTGAGTGTATAACAGAGCTCCACGGCAATAACACTTCCAGTAATGTGCCTGCTTGTATAACAGAGCTCCACAGCAATAATTCTCCCAGTAATGTGCCTGGGTGTATAACACAGCTCCACAGCAATAATACTCCCAGTAATGTGTCTGGGTGTATAACAGAGCTCCACAGCAATAATTCTCCTAGTGATGTGCCTGGGTGTATAACAGAGCTCCACGGCAATAATACTCCCAGTAATGTGTCTGAGTGTATAACAGAGCTGCACAGCAATAATTCTCCCAGTAATGTGCCTGGGTGTATAACAGAGCTCCACGGCAATAATACTCCCAGTAATGTGTCTGAGTGTATAACAGAGCTCCACAGCAATAATACTCCCAGTAATGTGTCTGAGTGTATAACAGAGCTCCACAGCAATAATACTCCCAGTAATGTGTCTGAGTGTATAACAGAGCTCCACAGCAATAATACTCCCAGTAATGTGTCTGAGTGTATAACAGAGCTCCACAGCAATAATACTCCCAGTAATGTGTCTGAGTGTATAACAGAGCTCCACAGCAATAATACTCCCAGTAATGTGTCTGAGTGTATAACAGAGCTCCACAGCAATAATACTCCCAGTAATGTGTCTGAGTGTATAACAGAGCTCCACAGCAATAATACTCCCAGTAATGTGTCTGAGTGTATAACAGAGCTCCACAGCAATAATAATCCCAGTAATGTGTCTGAGAGAATAACAGAGCTCCACAGCATTAATACTCCCAGTAATGTGTTTGTGGGTATAACAGAGCTCCACAGCAATAATACTCCCAGTAACGTGTCCTTACATTACAATGTGTTTAGAAATCAGTGTAAATAACATACTTTATTCTTGTTCTAAATTGTATATTAGTTTCCAAAATTGTTATTAGTAAGTCACCTAAAATTTCTGAGAACAGCCCTGCCCCTGATGACACCCTCACTCACACCCGTAAAATCAAAGTGTCCGTCTATGTGTGTGAAATGCTGCGAGGTGTGCAGAGCAGTGACTCTAACACTGGCTCTCTCTTCTGGAAGTTTTAGAAAACTATTCCTGTAATGCTCTTAATCTCTTGGCCCTGCATTGATGAGCGTTGCAGATCTCTCCTTATAAATCAGAATGATGCAGGTCAAACCGGCGCCACCATAAATTTGTTTACTCTAATAATTTACTGTATGCATTCATGCCCGCCATCACATTTTCTATGTTTTATGTATTCTTTATGTGGAAGTTTACCACTCGAATTAATTACCTTGTCCCTTGGCTCAGCAGGACTGTATGTGGAAACATTTTTTTTTGTTCCAAAGAAATTACAGGAGTTGTTTTGGAGCAAAAGTTAGGAGCACGGTCATCAGCTAATGCTTGTACAGTTTGTGATGACGGGGGGAATTTTGTATCTATTAAAGTCCAGTTTGGCTGCCTTTGCATATTATTCAGTGCCTGAGCATAGTGCTCTTTACTTATTTGTTAATTTCTGTAATGAAGTCATTGTCGCGGCCAAAGTGTTCTGGGAATGCAGGTTAGTAATGCAATTTACCATGCTCCACTGTGCGCTTTGATTACAATCTGCGCAAGCTTATTTAGCTGATCTGAAAACTGACACTATCACAGTATTGGGTAAGGCACGTTGTAAGACATATTCAGTTATTAGCTGGAATAATTTTTTTTTAAGAAACAAAAAAAGTGCTACCTGCTGTCCCAGTACCAGGGCCACAGTCTATCCCACCATCCCAGATTTATTTTAGCTGTCATAAAGCTTCTGACTCTTTATTGCAGTGAATTCTTTCCTATAATTCTTCGACAGCTCTCTGCATATGTACCCCTCGATGTCTTCACGCCTTTATGGATACCATGTCTCGTGGCGCACACTGCAGTACTAGCTTCACCATCCCAGCACTGGCTGAAATAAAATGCAAAGCACAGCAATTCCAAAATATTCCATGATTCCCTGTATGTAGTACATTACATTTTATGTTTGATCCTGGATTATTGGGAAAACCATGCTTAATGTGCATTTACAAGTAGGAAATATCATGGTGGCTCCAATTGTCTGGAAGTGCAAAGGTAACATTGTTTAAAGAGATACTATTGTGCTAGGAATACAAAGTTGTATTCCTAGAACTATAGCCCCCCCTCTCCCTCGCATCCCCCCATAGTTAAAATACTCATACTGTACTTACCTGGTTCCAGCGCTCCCCCCCACCCCTCCTGGCGTCACCCGACAGGGGAGGGGGGGCTGTAATGTGCATGCGCTGAGAACACTGTAAGCGCAGTAGGCCCTCCCCATCGGAAACAATTGCCGGCAATGCTTTTCTATGGGGAATTGACAGATGCTGGATGTCATAGAAGTTAAGGGCTAAGATAACAGGATCACTGCACCCAGACCACTTCAATGAGCTGAAATGGTCTGGATGCCTATAGTGTCCCCTTTAAGCTGAATCCTCTGCAGCTTATCACACCCAAGTAATTGCTGCAGTGGTTAAATGAAAGGGACCAATTTAACAAAGTAGAAATTTTTACTTAATTAGTTTTTTAGTTGGAAGCACATTGTAGCTCTCCATGCACCCACATACTCTGCAAACGAGTTTTAGAATAGTTTATAGTTACCATATGTAAATGTACCATAGACGGCTTACTTCCAGGACATGTCACTTTTCCAGGTCTGTTAGCTTGATTGATATTCGAACCTATCATATCTCCTCAAGTGTCCCTGTTTAGAAAGAACAGTCCCTATTTTGGCCCAATTCCTTCTGTACCTCTTTACTATGCCAATGTCCTTCATTCCTAGCAGCACCATGTTGTTGGTGTGTCTGAGTGTCAAACGGGCCTCCTGGCAATCTATATCCTACATTCAGGGAGAATACATAAATACCTCCATGAACTTAAATATGCTGAGCCCCTTCCATCCTCTAGACCAGGGTTTCCCAATTAATTTTTCCCATGGAACCCTTTGACATAGTGTACCAACATCGTGAAACCCCCCCCGAAAAAAATTTGCGCCCTAGCACAAACCTTTTAATTAACAGAGCGTAAGGGTTTCTTTTTTCCGCAAATTTCTAAAAATAGTAAACAGATTGTAGTACTTAGAAGCAGGTGTGCTTCTTTGTGGTATTTGTATATAAATTTTAGCATTTTAATACAGGGGTGTGTTTGTATATAATGCTTGCATTGACGTGCAATGGTGTGTTTGGATGTAGTGTTGGATTTTAATTGCGGATGTACATTTGTGTGTATTATTGGTGTTTGAGTGATGAGTAGTTGTATGTCATGTTGCAGGAGCATGTTGTGTAGGTGTTTGATTGCTGGGATGTCTGCACATACACATTTACACAGCTATACATACATATTAACAAACAGAAACACACTCGGATACACTGACACAGATAAACACACTGGCACAAAGATACAAACTGACCGATACACTGACACAGATACACACTGGCACATACACACAGATACACACACTGGCACATAGGCACAAACATACACACACAGGCACACACACTGACAGATACACGGACACGCAGATAAATACACTGGCACAAAGATATAAAAACACTAGCACATACATACACAGAGATACGCACTGGCACACAGATACACTGGTACGTACACACACACACTCACGGATACACTGACACATAGGCACAAAGATACACACACACACACACACACACAAACACACTGGCACAAAGATACACACTCTGGCAGAAAGATATACACACACTGGCACATACACTCACACAGATGCACACACTGACACACACAAACAGACTGGTACATACACCCACTGACAGATACACTGAAACACAGATACACACTGCCACATACACACACACACTGGCCCATAGGCACAAAGATACACACACTGGCACATACAAACACTGACATAGAGACTGACACATACACACACTGGCACATAGGCACAAAGATACACACTGGCACATACACACACACACACAGAGATAAACACACTGGCACATACACTCACTGACAAAGATATACATACACTGGCACATACACTCACTGACAGATACACTAACACATACACACACACACTGACACACAGATACACACACACACACATTGTCACTCAGATATACACAGTGACACATACTACACATACACAGAAACACACACACAGGTATTTGCAGTCACCCTCCTGTTCGATTACCTTTTTTCCTGCAGGAGGGTGACTTGCTTGGAGTGCTGCAGGCTGCTGGCTGAGGCTGGTGTACTGCTCACTCCTCACTGCTGCTCATTCTTACCGTCTTGCTCAGCGCGCTCAGTCTGGGAGGAAGTGACAGTCTGTCAGTTACTCCCAGTAATCCATGCTACAGGGGTCCGGTCGAGTTTTTAAATAGCTGTGGCGCCTGACCCGACCCCTGTTTGGCGGTACCCATCGGGTGGCCCTAGATGCTTGGGCCACCCGATCGGCAACACCAATTGGAAAACGCTGCTCTAGACATAGACCTTCGAGCATATTAACAACCCAATGCATGTGAGCGCCAGAGAGCTTTTCCTCATCTAACAGTCACCTTATCTTGCAACCCCTCTCAGATACAACCCAAATGTTGAACTTTATTTTATAATGTAAAAAAAGGTGCCATGTTATAGCAATGTCAATGTACAATCCTTTTACCTGCAGTTTGCACAATTGTTCTATACCAACTATGTCTTTGCAATGCACCACTAAAATAAAGAATTGTAAAAAAAAATGTCCTTTTGAAATGTCCATGGTTAGGTATGATATTGAATACAGTTGTTGTTTTCCTAATCAACAGTTTTGTAACTCTGTCACAATTCACTGTTAAAGCGGCACTGTCATGCGAACTTACCTTTCCCCAATCGATTCCTCTTCTCTCCCTCTTTCAGGATCTGTTCTTCATTTTTTCCTGTCTGCTATAGTTTTCTTTAAAACTTAAAGGACCACTCTAGGCACCCAGACCACTTCAGCTTAATGAAGTGGTCTGGGTGCCTGGTCCAGCTAGGGTTAACCCATTCTTTTAGAAACATAGCAGTTTCAGAGAAACTGCTATGTTTATTAATGGGTTAAGCCTTCCCCCAAAGCCTCTAGTGGCTGTCTCATTAACAGCCGCTAGAGGCGCTTGCGTGATTCTCACTGTGAAAATCACAGTGAGAGAGGCGCTTGCGTGATTCTCACTGTGAAAATCACAGTGAGAGCACGTAAGCGTCCATAGGAAAGCATTGTAAATGCTTTCCTATGCGACCGGCTGAATGCGCGCGCAGCTCTTGCCGCGCGTGCGCATTCAGCCGAATGGGCGGAGAGGAGGAGGATCGGAGGCAGAGAGCTCCCCGCCCAGTGCTGGAAAAAGGTAAGTTTTTACCCCTTTCCCCCTTCCAGAGCCGGGCAGGAGGGGGACCCTGAGGGTGGGGGCACCCTCAGGGCACTATAGTGCCAGGAAAACGAGTATGTTTTCCTGGCACTATAGTGGTCCTTTAAGAAAAAGTAGGGACTATTTCTCTTCTGGAGTTTTCCTATGCAGTGACCAGCGGAGTAGCAAAGTGTGCTTCATTTTCGGTGGTCACAGCAATTTTCCCACAATCCTTACCGTTCCTCCCTGTTCCCGCGATGCTTCCTGTCACTTAGACAGGACGCCGGCAAACTGCCGAATTGCGTTCTAACAGTTTCTCCATTCGTGTTAGAACGCAATTCGGGACTTTGCTCGTATCGGAATTTCATTAGAATGAATGAAACTCCGATCCTATTAATTGCCGCGGCTGCATCTTGCAGCCGCTTAGTAGATAACTCCCTAATTCCCACGGTATTAGGGAGCTATCTACTAAAAGGCTGAAAGACCTAAATTGGTCTTTCAGCCACATTTACTAATACTAAGTAAAGATTACTTAGTATTAGTAAATGATTTGCCCCTACTCGCTATACTGCGAGTAGGGGCATGTCTGTTAAACAGTGAGCAGCCAGTGGCATTCAAATAAACTGCTGCTCTATGCCAATCCATTGAAACCAATATAAAGGGATTCTATAGTGCCAGCAAAGCAAAGCCATTTTCTTACTGATTTTTTTGATTGGGTAACTAAAATTATAGATCAGGGTGGTGCAGTAGACATTGCTTACCTAGATTTCAGTAAGGCTTTTGACACTGTTGCACATAGAAGGCTTATCAATAAACTGCAATCTTTAAGTTTGGATTCCAATATTGTTGAATGGGTAAGGCAGTGGCTAAGTGACAGGCAACAGTGGGTTGTAGTCAATGGAGTATATTCGAAGCTTGGACTTGTCACCAGTGGGGTACCTCAGGGATCTGTACTTGGACCCATTCTCTTTAATATTATTATTAGTGATATTGCAGAAGGTCTTGATGGTAAGGTATGTCTTTTTGCTGATGATACTAAGATATGCAACAGGGTTGATGTTCCAGGAGGGATAAGCCAAATGACAAATGATTTAGGTAAACTAGAAAAATGGTCAGAATTGTGGCAACTGACATTTAATGTGGATAAGTGCAAGATAATGCATCTTGGACGTAAAAACCCAAGGGCAGAGTACAGAATATTTGATAGAGTTCTAACCCCAACATATGAGGAAAGGGATTTAGGGGTGATTATTTCTGATGACTTAAAGGTAGGCAGACAATGTAATAGAGCAGCAAGAAATGCTAGCAGAATGCTTGGTTGTATAGGGAGAGGTATTAGCAGTAGAAAGAGGGAAGTGCTCATGCCATTATACAGAACACTGGTGAGACCTCACTTGGAGTATTGTACACAGTACTGGAGACCGTATCTTCACAAGGATATTGATACCTTAGAGAGGGTTCAGAGAAGGGCTACTAAACTGGTTCATGGATTGCGGGATAAAACTTACCAGAAAGGTTAAAGGATCTTAACATGTATAGCTTGGAGGAAAGACGAGACAGGGGGGATATGATAGAAACATTTAAATATATAAAGGAATCAACACAGTAAAGGAGGAGACTATATTTAAAAGAAGAAAAACTACCACAACAAGAGGACATAATCTTAAATTAGAGGGACAAAGGTTTAAAAATAATATCAGGAAGTATTACTTTACTGAGAGGGCAGTGGATGCATGGAATAGCCTTCCAGCTGAAGTGGTAGAGGTTAACACAGTAAAGGAGTTTAAGCATGCGTGGGATAGGCATAAGGCTATCCTAACTATAAGATAAGACTAGGGAGTAATGAAAGTATTTAGAAAATTGGGCAGACTAGATGGGCCGAATGGTTCTTATCTGCCGTCACATTCTATAGAATTCTACAGTGCCCCCCTCCCTCACACCCCATCTCCTGCGTGGCTAAAGGGGTTAAAACCTGAATCGAGCGTCGATGTCCCTTGGAGCGGGTCAGGCTGCGCACGCATTAGGATTTCCCACTACGGGGAAAAATCTGACGCTGGAGGTCCTCATGCAAAGCGTGAGGATGTCCAGCGTCAGGTAACGGACCAAAGAACCATTTGGATTCCGGAAGTCCCTCTAGTTCTCAGAAACTGCAATAAATACCACTGTAGGGTTAAGGGACATGGGACGTTGCACCCAGACCACTTCAATGAGCTGAAGTGGTCTGGATGTCTACAGTGTCCCATTAAGTATTCTGACCCAAAGTTTACAATTGCTGTTTTACATTATCAGAGAAGATGGATTGGGTCTAAGTACCAAAACCACTATATTAAGATGAAGTAGTTTTGGTGATTAGAGTATCCCATTAGTTAATCTGACCCAACCCATCTAGTTTGTAATAACATTACAGAAAACAAAAGTAATTCTTAGCAGTATCAAAATGAAATACGTGTCTTTTATTTTTGTTTTATATCTACAATTTTCTATTGCATCTATTGAAACTCAGCCCTGTTAATTGAGACTTTAATTATTTATCAGAGCCGTTTCCAACACACAGGACAGTCGAGAAGTGAAAAATCAGTCCAGGAACAGAAGTAACGAGAATAAGATTTCTTGGTTCCTTGCAGCCTTTCATATATTTTGTAATTGACACCAATTTGAAACCGAGCCGTCACGTCGCACTATATTGATATCTAGCCCCTCTGAAATCCAGTTAGGCCTCAAATGTATGATGAAACTCTGCTTCAATTTGCAGTCAGTATCATTCGAATGATAAATCTCCCCAATCTCATGGAACACATGGTAATTTATTCGACATTATAGTGGCCTATATTAGGAATGTACTTTCACAGTGTCAGGGAACTCATTTGCTAATAGCTTGTGAATATTGTAACATAAATCCCTTTGTAGGAGGCTTATGGATCACATTTCATGAATATATGATAGCGCTGGGCCATAAAGAATGTGTGTTGGTTGCCAGGAAACATGTATTCTTTCATACATTGAAGTGTTTTTAGAATCTTTTTATTTGAAACAAATCAGTTGGAGGCAAAACAAAAAAAAAACCACTCTATTTAATATTATTATGAGATAGAAAAAAAGTGCTTTTTATATTTTTTGTTTGTGTGTTTGCTGCTAAGGAAGATGGAAATGAAAACATAGATTCTATATATTTTATTTTAATTCAAGATGATATTGTATTATTTTTTTAAATCCTCTTTTTGTTGGAGATATATATATGTTTATTGTTAGCCTTCTCTGTCACTCTCCCTGCAAGTTGATGGTACCCGCATCAGCCCGTCCTTGCAAGCTCGCTGTCTTGGTGTTATCTTTGATTAAATGATTTTGAAGCGTACTCAAAAATATTAAATCAAGGCCATAGTGAGCATGTGGAGACACCAGCGACGACTATATATGCCATCATTTAAACATTACAGCCACTTTTGACAAATAGGTCAAACCATTCACCAACTAGACTAACACAACAGCACATGTCCTTTTCTGGTAGAAATCACCCTCTCCAACAATCTGGGTATTTTATATTTTAGCTCAAGGTGATATCACAAGCAATAACCATTCTCAATTATATAGAGAGTTATTCTACATCTCTCTCTATTTTCTGATTGAATGCGAGTTCCAGCATGGAGTGCCAATAAATGGGCTTTACACTGTGTGTGTATGTTGCTGCAATGGGTGTAGAGGTGGCTGCATCATTTGCCTTGTAAGTTACGTGAGAGAAGTCTGTGTCACTGTCCTCTAGTCTAGTTTTATTCCCTCTGATTTAAGCAGCACTGTCCGTGTCATGTCAGTATTTTATAGATAGAATACTGATGAAATACTAAAGCTGTGTTGGAATTTCATTGAAAGTCCAACATGTTACGGCCGACGCTTACCTGCCCGGTGCGCCCGCGGTGTTCTAATGGAAGGCTCGGGTGCCCGCTCCTTCCTCCTTCCTCTTTCCCTGCTTGCTCTGATGCCTGCTGTCCATGCACACTTTCGCCTAGGTGCCGCTATGAGGCATACATAGAGGATTGGGGAGGGCCGGGGGAGGAGGGACTGGCGAGGCAGAGAGAAGGGACTGTGGAATAGCTAAGTTCTATCCCCTCCTTTGTAGTCAATGGGGACTATGCCTGCAGTGGTTGGGGGCTGGTAACATGATTTCCTCTCCCTATAAATAGCCAAGCACTGCACGTGGTCAGTTCTCAGTTGTTCTGGTGCTTTCCCCAGTCTCCTAGCATCCTGGTTTCTGATCCATTCCTGATCCTGGTTTTTGTTCCCGGTTCGTGTTCCTGGCTCCTGATCACAGTTTTTGTTCCTGATTCCTGTTAAATTTCTCAACTTTGACTTTGACTTTGACCCTTTGAGGCCTTTGGCATCCTGCTTCCTACTTGTGACCTTGGGCTTGACACTTCGCTCCTTTGCTGCCAGCCATCGGACTTCCTGACACTGCTTCCTGTCTGCTCCCTTCTGGCTTATTCGCTTCTTCTGTAAAGAAAGTCACGCATGCCCTCATAGATCTCCAAGGTTCCCTTATCACTCTTGTGCACCTGGGAAGGTCATGTCTGCAAGGAGTTGTAGTTCCACTGAAACTGAGTTCTTTTCTAAGCAAACCGACCAGAAGGTTGTCACACAATGCAATCCAAAGATACCGTGAGGCAAAGTACATATTACTTTGTCATATGGGCAAGTCACAGTAATGCAAAGTACAGATTAGTTTGTCATATGGGCAAGCTTGAGGTTGACAGAACTTGGTGCTGCACCATTAATTTTTGTCCTATGCAAACAGCCATCACAAGTGACAGCTGAGGTATTTAGGCATGGTCTATGCATGTACCTTCATAGACCTTAGGGCTGTGCTGTTATGAGCTGTCATGAGCACCAGCAGCTAGAGACGATCTACAAGAAGAATATGGCAATATGGTAAGTAAAGCTTCTTTCCATTGTAACCCGCGACCACCAGACCCTACTCGGACATGTCACCTTTGGGGGTCAATCTGGCATTGATAGTGAGGAGCGTGTTGGTTCTTCAGTGTTGAGGTTGATGGAGTCTCTTACTGGTACGAACAGGAAAGCTGGAGCTAATTGACAATTCAAGGTCAAAAGTCAAGGTGTCAATATGAAGTGGAAAAGAACACCAGTCCCAGGAAAGCTGGCAGTCGAAAATCCATAGGACACAGTCATATACTCCAAGCCATAAGAACAATTATTTAGAAATTCTCATATATAGCATGAGGACACAAGCTCCAGATATATTCTTCTGAAATATAAAAAATAAGACAAATTGATGTGAGGGAACTCTTGGGTACTACTAGACTGAAGTGGGACCAAGACAGGATGTGACTGTGCAATTTAAAACAATGGCTGGGCACGAAACCAATGGTCTGCTGCCCATATGGAGAAGATATGATGCTAGACCTGCATCCAAGTACACACATGACTACGATATGCACAGTGCATCACTCCTCAAAGTGAATGCCTCCTTGATGAATGCATCCTGCTAAACGCAAGCTATTATATAATAATCAGCAGCCCTCATCTATATATTTTTTAACAATAGGAGAATCAAATATAGGAAGGATAGGAAATATAGGATTCCCCAATCTGCAAAACATCCCTAATAATTATTACCCCCCTTTCCCATTGTAGCCTCTGCTCTATCAAAGACGTGTGATTGCACCTACAGGGCAAACTCTTACCTTCAAAATGTCTTCAAGGCTGCCCCATTCTTCATCCCTCCCTGACTCTATTGCTCTAAGAAACCCTTTAAAAAAAAAAAACTTTAAGGACATTTAACAAATAAACTTGTCTCCCATCTTCTGCCTTCACTGTCTTGCTTTTGTCTCTCTTCCAGGCCTGTCATATAAAGTTATAAATCTTACAGGGTACCGTGCAATAAATTTCCACTCATTCCTGTACCTTTGATGGAATTAAAGGGATACTGTAGGCATCAAATCAACTTTACCTTAATGAAGTAGTTTTACTTGACGTGCCCAACAATTTACTTTGCGCTTTATACACTCCTAGTTCACTGTCCCTTTAAATCAAGCTTGAACTGATATCATACAGTGTATCACATAAAAACACTGTTACCTCTATTATCCTGTATGCATTTCGAACAGGAAACAAGTGACCCTGTCCTTGAATCTCTTGTCATTTTGATTGAACATATTTAAGCAGTCGGCGAGCAGACGAAGCAGCTGGGTCCTGCTGTTTTGCTTATTTTGATGTATAGCATTCAGTTGGTATTCTGGCTTAGACTTTGCACGGTTAGTTTCTCGGAAGCTTACTGGTCACAGATAATTTAGATAGCCAATTCTCTGCTTCGCTGTGTCTTCTTCCCTCGTAATAGATGGGGTTTTCACATATTAAAAACACAAACAGTAAAATCCCACTCACATTATGCTACGATGCTGTTGTTTTAGTTGGTTCACTGGTTTTCCCCTTTTTCAGTTTTTTTCAGGAATAGCTGATTTAATAATATCATACATTACAACCTTCTCATGTCATACTCACCTTGTGGCAGAAATTATTTGTTCTCTATCAACTATTTTGTCTCTACTTATCTTTTCCGTTACTGTGAGATATACACATCCTATTTATTGTAAATGATTTAAGACTGTTTAACCCCTTAAGGACACACGACATGTGTGACATGTCATGATTCCCTTTAATTCCAGAAGTGTGGTCCTTAAGGGGTTAAAGGAGCACTATAGTGTTAGAAGAAAAAAAAAAACTCTGCTACTGTGCTGCCCCTCCCCTCACTGCAATGAAAATGTTAAATAACCCTTTAAACGCTAACTGGGTTCATTACTCTGCCTTCTCCAACGTCATTGCGAGGGGACCAGCCACTAGAGACAGTCTTAACCCCGCAATGAAAACATTGCAGTTTCTGTAAAATTTTACCGAAATTCTAACAATGTCAAAATATATCATAGGACAAGGCCAGGACTAATGTGACTTGGGTATTTTCCCTCTACTTGAAAAAAACTTGACAACAGGCGGAGCTACCGTTTTGTCAATACACCCAGCCATCACTAATAAAAGCTATAAAGAAAAAGGCATTGGAGCCTCGCATAACCACAGAGCTGCAGGAGCTAGAAGCAATGTCTGCCAGCATCCATTTTCTGAAAGTGTCAGCTGACTGTTCTCAGCCAATGAATGACATTCTGTGCAAGTAAATTTGCACAGAATTGACAGTAGCCATCCTGGAACTCTTGTTCTGGGCTGGCTGACGACAAAACAATGACTCTGCCGGAGGTGGAGGTAAATTATGTATACATTGTTTCGTAGTGATAAACTGCACATATAGCATACAGGCACCATGAGCACTTCAAATCACTGAAGTGGTCATGCTGCTTGAAGTAACCCTTCAATATAAACATTGTAAAAATGCTTGCAATTAAAAGAAACAACACAAAAATAAACAACCCTTATAAGAAAACGTTTCCATGAATCCAATGATAGAAAAATAATTAAACAAATATTGTTGGCTTCTGTGTTTCTACAGAAGATTTAATGGGTTATGAATGTCTTCAGGACTGTAATAGCATTATTTCCACTATAACATGCATCGCCACTAAGTGTCTTTTTATATTAAATCATTTTGTAGGGCTGAGGTTAGTTTTTAATTTTAGTGATAGAGTAAGTGAATAAATCATTTAATCTTAGAGCAGTACCTACATACATGTCCCAGTTTTATTGATGTGAGTTTCACTAATAATCTAGTCCTCTGCTAATAGTGATATACTGGCAGAAGTGCTGGGGAGAAAGAATTGCACTATTTCTGTCTCCCCAGCTCTTTCCAGGACATTTCATCTGAAGAGTGTGAGTAACGCATGAATGATGTCACCGACTGTGCAGTATGTATTTGAAAAATCTTCTTTAGATTGCAAGCTCACTGGCTGTGTTCCATAGCACTTGTACACGGTCGTGCTGCATGATTTGCATTGTTGCCCACTGAAGGGGGTCTCAATTCCATTTATATGTTAAGTCCTTCTTTTTTTTTTTCTTCAATCACTTCGCATTATCCAAACATTTCCTTAACATTACAAATCAACTTCAGGTTCCGAATTGGTAAAGTGGAGAGTGGACATTTTCTCTTACCCCAAATATTTTTTAAAATATACAAAAAATTCAAGAACCATTAAAGTCACCCAGACTACTTCATCTTAATGAAGTGGTCTGCGTGCAATGGTCCCGTCATTTTAACCATCCGATGTAAAACATTGATGTTTTGTAGAGCTTCCACCTTCTTAACAGAGTCAAAAAGAGTTTTGTCTCATACACACACTAGTCTCTTTATGGGGAATCATTGGTTTGTCTGACTTAATAAAATTTGATGATCTCAGCTGAAGAGGTGGACTGGCGGCAAGAGCAGATTGTTAAGGGAGTTAACGTAGGTAAATGCCACCCTCTAAAACCTTGCATCCGAGGTGGCATCTATAGATAGGGTAACACAACTTTTTTATGCTTTGAGAAGTCTATAAACTCTGTAGTGAAGAAGTAAAGAGACATGTATCTGATTAAATTACTATGTACATGATATTGATTATGTGGCTGTTCAGCTAGTGAAATAATATAACCTGTGAATACACATACTGCTTATGAGATAATTCAGGGGTGAATATTCCATCTTCCGAGCCTTTAGTAGACGTTTACCTTTATTTCCTTATCCAGTAAAATACCATTGAGTAGCACGTCTAACCCCCAGGACATACTTGAAAAATTGTGAAAGCTAAATGTATCCTTCCAGGCTAAATAATTCAGTATTATTATTACATGTAGCTATGTTATCATCAAAAAGCATCAGAAGTGACTTAGAATTTAGATAATATGTGCAATCAAAAAAACTTTCTTTCCTGTATTTTGTTTTCCTGGGTGTTAGGATTGCCTCCTATTTTAGTTAAAATGGTTAAATTTTCCACGTAATTAGTCAAATTCAGTTTATTCACTTTCCATCCTGTAGAATCTAAAGAACTTTGCTTGAGTACACACACAGATTAAGCTGTCTGTTCCTATCCAGCCTGTTGTGTAAGGAATAATTTCTATACCTTAGCATAGTGACACATTTCGTAATGTGGCAGAAAAAACATCTTTTTAACTACAGACATCCAGTCGTGTTGTACTTGGTAAAACATTTCACGATAAACCAATGCCTTAAAATTTTATGACCTGTTGTTTATATCTTCATGCATTGACTTTCTCCGTTACAGCATACCTCCAAAGTGTTAATCATTAGTGCCTAAATTACTTTACCTCTATTTTCTATCTGTCTCGTTCCTAGAAAATCCAGATTTCTGGTGCATCTTAGTGCAAAATACAATAAATGTCTTAAGAAAACAGTCATAAATAAAATTGTGTGGTATAATAAATGAGTTTTACTTCACCATTTCTGTTACCCCAGCGATGACTAAACTTGTGCAAAATTCCATTCCATGCCATTCATCCATATCAAATGTCTTTAAATCCATGCCGAACTGATCAATTTGCCCGGAATTTATTTATGGATTCTTATTCATTGGATATGACTCTACAAGTAAATCCTGGACAGATCGATTAGTTTTGGCATGGATTACAAAGAATTTGATTTGGATGATCTGACTTCTGACGTTCTCCAGAAGGGACTCAGCTATGAGGGCAAACGATTGCAGTTTAAGTTTATATAATCGAGTATAAGACAAGTTTTTGGCACATTTTTTGTGCTGAAAAAGCCCCACTCGTCTTATACTCGAGTCAGTGTCTGTATCATGGCAACTTACATTGCCATAATACAGACCACGACCGCCAGGCACTGGAGCTGAACGGCACAGAGGAGAAGGGAGCTGACAGGAGCTGCTGTAAAGGTAAGGAACAGCTTGCTCCCAGCCCCCTTCCTGCACAGCCCATCCACTCGACCACCAGGGAATAATATAGCCCCCCTCCCTGGCCATGTATCAAGCAGGGAGGGGGGACAAAAAATAAATAAATACAAGTTTTTTGAATATTAAAAAAAACAAAAAACATTTTAATAATATAAAAAAAAGAGAATTTTTAAAAATATTAAAATAATAATAATTAAAAAAATAATAAAAAATGCCCACCCCCCCACCAAGGTTACACACTCTGCATCACATACACAAACACACTCTGCATCATATACACACACTGCATTATACACACACACACTGCATTCATACACACACACACAAACACACACACACTCTGCATTCATTATATACACAAATATGTAAATAAATATTCAATTAATATAATTTTTGGGGGATCTAATTTTATTTAGAAATTTACCAGTAGCTGCTGCATTTCCCACCCTAGTCTCATACTCGAGTCAATAAGTTTTCCCATTTTTGGGGGGTAAAATTAGGGGTCTCGACTTATATTCGGGTCGACATATACTCGAGTATATATGGTGTGTGTGTATATATATCTACCTATCTTGTTTAATCATTTCAGTGAACAAACATAGATGTTCAAGCAAATACATGAATATGTATGCTATATAATGGTATCATGGAGGTTCAATAAAACAATTTAAGTTGTTCTTCAAATATAAGTAATTATCCTATTAAACTGCAGATTTGCAATGATTTCATCATTATGTATGTATTTCTAATTTTATATAAGAAAATTATTAATGATATAACTGTCAAACTAATCTGAAAAGTTATTATTCTAAAAATGAAATCTGCTTGCAAATATTACAATTATTACAACTAAGAATGAATACTAAGAATGAGACTTTTTTTAAATCAAGTGCTGCTCTGTAATACCAATTACAACATCACCTACCGTACAGTCAAACCTAGTGGAAGGTTCCATTAAGTCTTCTAGACTATATTTCCCCATCCAATTGTGCACTTTAGTTCCCAAAAACACTAGGACTGCTGTATCGGAGAACAAGGGACTCGACTTGGTTTTCAAAAATCCTATCATCTGTTTTTAATTGAGCAATGAACAAAATTTGAAATAACAAAAAAAAGTGGAGTAAAAAAATAAAAATATATATGTGTCCCAGATTTAACAATCTGCCGATATATATCATAAATACATGCCATGTTCTTCAGATGTGCAATATACTGTTGTATATGTAAATATGCACGTGCTAATTGGAATATTATATTTGTATTTTTTTTTTTTTTGTATTTTAGGGACAAGCTCCATTTTTATGTGTAAGCTGTGTAACTTGTTTTCTCCAAACCACTCGGAGCTCTTGCTACATGTCTCAGAAAATCACAACAAAGATGGACTTAGTCCTGATAACATCATTATCCCACTTAAGCCACTTGTACCTTCCAGCAAGAACACAGAAGGTAGGTGTTTGTTTTTAATTGCATTTGATTTTCAAGCAACATATGTGTTTGTTTCTATAATTATTTATATGATGTATCCTTAGCATAATTATGGACAATCAGGGGTGTTGCTATGTTCCAGAAACCCCTGGGTCTTGGGCCGAAAACAAAACTCTATAACCCTACTCTAACAGGGGATGTAATTGCATATCACTGTTCTTCATTTTATGTCGACTCTTCTCTACCCATGAACAACATGCCACTCCGGATATGAGAACAAGCTGTTTCTAATATCAGAAATTAGGAACACAGAAAAGACCAAACACAATAGCAAACAATACAAACTACCTTTTAAAGGCCTTGGCTTTGATGTTACATGACACTGTAAAAACATAACCTACAATATTTTAGAGTTCCGAAGCTGTGATGCTAACAGAAAGCATCTGTTAAAGCAGTACTATTATAGTTCTAAAACTATTGTTTACGTGGTTGGCCCTCCTCACTTCAAGTTAAAAGGGTGATTTATTCACCTTTTTCCAGCGTTACACAGGGCTCCTTGTGCCTCGCCCCGTCTCTGATCTGCCTCCTTGGCTGACATAATCAGGATTGATGATCTCGGCCAATCCAGTGCTTTCCTATAGGACATTTTGATGATCTCAGCCAAGAAGTCGAGACTGGGTTAGAACCAAACACCGCCCTTGCCATCAGCATTTCCTAATAGAGATGCATTGAATCGATGCATATCTGTGGGGAAAGTTCAGTGTCTCCATGAACAGTGCTGAACTTGGCACTGAGGAGTGGCCACATGTTCCAGTAATGTAATGTAAACACTGCCTTTTCTCTGACATCCCGGTCTCCATTGGTGATGCCTAATCTAAAGCTTGTTCCCTACCCAGCGACTCTCTTGCATGGATACTCCAACTTCACATGTCCGATTTAAGATGACTTCCGTAGCAGTCTTGCAGGGTCCTGCAGTGGAGGAATTGCAGTGGGGTTAGGAAGCAAGATTCAGTGCAGCATTCAAAGCCATATGTGAGAACTTTTGACACAGAATTTCACAGCAAAACCATCTTCTCACCCAAATAAAAAAAAGTGGTGTCTCTGATAGCTGCTCTTCATCTGAACTGGGAACCCACAAGGATATTATCCATGACCATCCACAACCTGGAGAAGAAGGACTCTCTCGAGACCTTGACCAGTAGTGGAAGGATCTGTGGGTGTAAGGCAGTGTTTCCCAATGTTTCCTAGGATTCTGTGAGAACAAAATTGGGGTTTTGCCCCGATTTGCCCATTGAGTATTGCTGAACAGGGACCTGGTCAGGAGCTGTAGTCGTTTAAGATCGCGTCCAGACCCCTGTAGTACAGCCTGTCACTTCTTCCCAGACATAGAGCGCGCCGAGCGGAATAGAGAGAGGCAGCCCCGGCGAGTGAGCTGCTGCCGACCTCGCACACCAACTTCAGCCAGCTGAACTAAAGGAACTAAAGTTACACACACATACACACCAGCGTCCATAGGAAAGCATTGTGAATGCTTTCCTGTGGACTGGCTGAATGCACGCGCGGCTCCTGCCGCGCATGCGCATTCAGCCGAAGAGGAGGTGAAGAGGGAGGAGAGGAGGAGGAGAGCTCCCCACCCGGCGCTGGAGAAAGAGGTAAGTTTAACCTCTTCCTCTCCCCAGAGCCCGGCAGTGTATGTAAATTCTTCTTTCTTATTGTTGGGTGGCTCGCCTTGTATCATGCAAATCATAGTTCTTCATTGTCACTTAAAAATATAACGCAATCAGACTTTCCTGGCTTTTCTTATAAAAGAGATTTACTCTTCTTGCTTCGCAAATGCAAAGTCAGTACTTACAATGTCGTTGATGTTAAATAGGTTAATAGCTGATGGTACATGCTGGACATTTAGAGTGTGAGGACACTCTCACAGCTGATGGTGCATGCTGGACATTCAGAGTGTGAGGACACTCTCACAGCTGATGGTACATGCTGGACATTCAGAGTGTGGAGACACTCTCACAGCTGATGGTACATGCTGGACATTCAGAGTGTGAGGACACTCTCACAGCTGATGGTACATGCTGGACATTCAGAGTGTGGAGACACTCTCACAGCTGATGGTACATGCTGGACATTCAGAGTGGGAGACACTCTCACAGCTGATGGTACATGCTGGACATTCAGAGTGTGGAGACACTCTCACAGCTGATGGTACATGCTGGACATTCAGAGTGTGGAGACACTCTCACAGCTGATGGTACATGCTGGACATTCAGAGTGTGAGGACACTCTCGCAGCTGATGGTACATGCTGGACATTCAGAGTGTGGAGACACTCTCGCAGCTGATGGTACATGCTGGACATTCAGAGTGTGGAGACACTCTCACAGCTGATGGTACATGCTGGACATTCAGAGTGTGGAGACACTCTCACAGCTGATGGTACATGCTGGACATTCTGAGTGTGAGGACACTCTCACAGCTGATGGTACATGCTGGACATTCAGAGTGTGAAGACACTCTGCCTTGGTGTTCTGTGTCTCCGTGTCTGTGTCTCATTCTCCTAGACGCCCTCTCACATAGCTAATACATTCTACATATATACCACCAAAATGGCTGTGTAAGCATTACAAAGTCAATGCTATAGATACAATATGCTTGTTGGCAATTCTAATAACCCTATTAGGTCATCCCAAGTTCCATGGACACTCAGAAATAGAGAAGAGCTTACAACACATATTGTCATCTGTTCATGTCACTCAAGACCAACCCCACCTCAGTATGAATTGCATGTAAGAGACATTTCCAAAATATAGAATATTTTACAACATACAAACATATACCTGTATTACAATAAAAAGAGACAAATACCAGTATATACACCTCCCCAATGTGATCACCACAAAAATAAGTGATATTACCAATATAGAACTGGACTGTAATGTAAACAGCGTAGAACTTGATTGGGGTATAAACTAAAATAGAAAAAACATAAAAAACATAGTGCAAACTGTATGATAATAAATAAGTGATAAATAGGTATGTGATTCTCACTCACATTCTCCAGAGCCGTACCAGGCTCTGTATAGCAGGCTCAGGGGTGCCAATAACTGGCTAACGATCCAGGTGGTCCAAATAGATGAGACTCCAAAGGTTAAATATAAAATATATTTATTTATAAAAATATATAAAAAAGTGTATACACTGCTGGGCACTATGGGGGTGGAACCCAAAACAGACAAGGATATATATAAAACAATAATGGAATTCCACTTACCCCTATCTGTATAGTAGCCCAGAGTGACAGAAATACACATAAAATAACAAATACAAATGCAGAAGATTGAAGCAGACGCGTTTCGGCCAACAGCCTTCCTCCAGTGCTTGTCTTCATGTCCTATTGAGTCTTCTTTTATAAGCCTTATCTGTCCCATTCACCTGGATCCAATTTCGTACCGGCGTCGCGTCACTTCCGGTTTCGCGGGTGACGTCACTTCCGGTTTTTCGGCCGGCTGGAACGCACGCTGAAACGCGGCGTTCAGGATGTAGATTGTTATGATTAAGTCCCCATAGCAACCTTAGCCTCCATATTTGCAAAATATCATAATAGAATAAGAAAAAACACAAATTAAAGATATAATCTATATATAGCATACACAATACAGATATTTGATAGCTATCATCAATCTCTTTATATCTAGAGAAAAATTTAAAGATGTATAAGATAATCTATTCTTAGAAAAATTAGAAAAATTATACAATGCAATATGTGGCCATAGAACTCCCCACATAAATACCAATTAGACAAGAAGCAAGTATAACCTTCTGAATCTAATAGTTCAAATAAAGTAAATACTATAAACAATATATAGATCCTATAAAAAATGTATAAACTCAAAATCTAAATTCAATCCCTTCGGGGATAGGGTATTAACATCAAAAATCCACTTACCCTCTATCTTCGCTAGCTCTTTAACATTATTATCTCCCCTCCAATTCTTAAATTTCTTAAAAATAACAGTATATGACAGTAGGGAGGAATCCCCACCATGTTTCTCAGTGAAGTGTGCAGATACACTATGTTTCATATACCCCCTCTGGATATTACCCACATGCTCCGCAACCCTGGTTTTAAATGCCCTGGTGGTCATTCCAATGTATTGCAGACCACATGGGCACCAGAGGAGGTATATGACATTAGTGGAATTACAGGTTAGAACCTGATGAATTTTGAATGTGCGATTAGTAGAGTGAGAGGTAAATTCTGTCTGTTTATGTTTATCAAATATTGTTCTCTTACAGGCTAGACAGGATTTGCAGGGATAAAAACCCTTTTCTAGTCCAAAGAAGTTTTTCTCTTCCCCTTTATCCCTAATAAAACTTGTAGTTAGATGTTGTTTTAAGTTTTTTGCCCCTCTATAAATAATACGTGGCCTATCACCAATAATTTCTCTCAGATTCGGATCTAGTTTAAGGATACGCCAGTGTCTATTAATAATATGCTTAATTTGCTTGGCATCTTCACTATAATTCAAAATAATTGGTACCTGGTCTGCACCCTTCTTCTCCTCCCTAGGTATCCTTTTCTTCAGAACCTTACTTCGGTCCATCTTCTTAATGGAATTAATACAACTATCCAATTCCTTGGCGTCATATTTCTTCTCTACAAACCTGTCCTTCAAGCAAACTGCCTGTTCCTCAAACACTTCAGCATCACTACAGTTCCTAAACAGCCTAAGGAACTGGCCCTTAGGAATGCTTCGTAACCAGGATTCATAGTGGCAACTGGACATTTCTATGTAACCATTGACGTCGACCTTCTTAAAGAAAGTCTTGGTCTTAATCCCTTCATTGTCTACATAGATATTCAAGTCCAGGAAGTTAATATTGGATGCACTATACTCACTTGTCAATTTAATGTCTGGATGCTGAAGGTTCAAGAATTCCAAAAATGGCCGCAGTGATTCTACATCTCCGCGCCAGATGAAAAAAATATCGTCTATAAAACGACGATAAAGGACCAGGCTACGCGCCCAGCTACCTTCCTCCGTTAAAAACGGGTTTTCCCAATGCGCCATAAATAAGTTAGCGTAGCTGGGCGCGAACCTGGTCCCCATCGCAGTTCCCTTAAGTTGCAAGAAAAATTTGTGGTCAAACCAAAAGTAGTTGTTACAGAGGATAAGTCGAATTCCGTCTAGGATAAATTTAACCTGCAATTCTTTCAATTCACTCTGATTTTTAAGGAAATGTTCAATTGCTTCACAGCCAGATAAGTGTGGTATACTTGTATATAGACTTGAAACGTCACAAGTCACCAATAGCATATTATTATCCCATCTGATCTCTTTAAGGGGGTCCAACAGTGACATAGAGTCGCGCAGGTAGGATGGTTGTACAACCACCAAGGGTTGTAGTTGTTTGTCTATATATTCTGACAAATTACTCAAAAGCGACCCCACCCCTGACACTATAGGCCTGCCTGGCGGGTTCTCCTCACTTTTATGTATCTTAGGCAGGGTGTAAAATACCGGGGTCCTACCTATGACAGAGTCCAAATATTGGAACTCGTCCCTATTTAGGATCCCCAGTACCCTACCCCTGCCCAAAAGGGATGCATATTCTTTTTTAATCTGTCCAATGGGGTCACTTTTTAGTTCTTTATATGTGCTTTGGTCGTCCAATTGCCTATAGATTTCCTTCATATATTGATCTCTACTTTGTATGACCACCCCACCCCCTTTGTCGGAGGGTTTTATAATTATTTCTTTATTTGTCTGAAGTTCCTTTAACGCTTTCCTTTGATAGAAATCCAAATTATCCCTTTTATATTTCCTCTTACTATTATTATTTAAATTTCTCACATCATCCATCACTAGACGCTCAAATACCTTCATTCCCCCATTTATTAGGTGTCTAGGAAAGAATGTGGATGTCTTCTTAAGCTGAGTATGATGGAACTCTTGGGGGCCTTTTAGAGGCTCTAAAGGGGATATCTTGTCAAAAAATAATTTAATACACATTTTCCGAGTAAATTTGTTAATATCGATAAATGTGTCAAATGGCTTATTAAATTCTGATGGAACAAATTTGAATCCCTTTTTTAAAACTTCAATTTGAGATTTTGTAAGGATCATATCTGTTAGGTTAAAGATACCTATTGATTTAGTATCCTCCCCCTTTCAAAGGAAAGCGTTAAAGGAACTTCAGACAAATAAAGAAATAATTATAAAACCCGCCGACAAAGGGGGTGGGGTGGTCATACAAAGTAGAGATCAATATATGAAGGAAATCTATAGGCAATTGGACGACCAAAGCACATATAAAGAACTAAAAAGTGACCCCATTGGACAGATTAAAAAAGAATATGCATCCCTTTTGGGCAGGGGTAGGGTACTGGGGATCCTAAATAGGGACGAGTTCCAATATTTGGACTCTGTCATAGGTAGGACCCCGGTATTTTACACCCTGCCTAAGATACATAAAAGTGAGGAGAACCCGCCAGGCAGGCCTATAGTGTCAGGGGTGGGGTCGCTTTTGAGTAATTTGTCAGAATATATAGACAAACAACTACAACCCTTGGTGGTTGTACAACCATCCTACCTGCGCGACTCTATGTCACTGTTGGACCCCCTTAAAGAGATCAGATGGGATAATAATATGCTATTGGTGACTTGTGACGTTTCAAGTCTATATACAAGTATACCACACTTATCTGGCTGTGAAGCAATTGAACATTTCCTTAAAAATCAGAGTGAATTGAAAGAATTGCAGGTTAAATTTATCCTAGACGGAATTCGACTTATCCTCTGTAACAACTACTTTTGGTTTGACCACAAATTTTTCTTGCAACTTAAGGGAACTGCGATGGGGACCAGGTTCGCGCCCAGCTACGCTAACTTATTTATGGCGCATTGGGAAAACCCGTTTTTAACGGAGGAAGGTAGCTGGGCGCGTAACCTGGTCCTTTATCGTCGTTTTATAGACGATATTTTTTTCATCTGGCGCGGAGATGTAGAATCACTGCGGCCATTTTTGGAATTCTTGAACCTTCAGCATCCAGACATTAAATTGACAAGTGAGTATAGTGCATCCAATATTAACTTCCTGGACTTGAATATCTATGTAGACAATGAAGGGATTAAGACCAAGACTTTCTTTAAGAAGGTCGACGTCAATGGTTACATAGAAACGTCCAGTTGCCACTATGAATCCTGGTTACGAAGCATTCCTAAGGGCCAGTTCCTTAGGCTGTTTAGGAACTGTAGTGATGCTGAAGTGTTTGAGGAACAGGCAGTTTGCTTGAAGGACAGGTTTGTAGAGAAGAAATATGACGCCAAGGAATTGGATAGTTGTATTAATTCCATTAAGAAGATGGACCGAAGTAAGGTTCTGAAGAAAAGGATACCTAGGGAGGAGAAGAAGGGTGCAGACCAGGTACCAATTATTTTGAATTATAGTGAAGATGCCAAGCAAATTAAGCATATTATTAATAGACACTGGCGTATCCTTAAACTAGATCCGAATCTGAGAGAAATTATTGGTGATAGGCCACGTATTATTTATAGAGGGGCAAAAAACTTAAAACAACATCTAACTACAAGTTTTATTAGGGATAAAGGGGAAGAGAAAAACTTCTTTGGACTAGAAAAGGGTTTTTATCCCTGCATATCCTGTCTAGCCTGTAAGAGAACAATATTTGATAAACATAAACAGACAGAATTTACCTCTCACTCTACTAATCGCACATTTAAAATTCATCAGGTTCTAACCTGTAATTCCACTAATGTCATATACCTCCTCTGGTGCCCATGTGGTCTGCAATACATTGGAATGACCACCAGGGCATTTAAAACCAGGGTTGCGGAGCATGTGGGTAATATCCAGAGGGGGTATATGAAACATAGTGTATCGGCACACTTCACTGAGAAACATGGTGGGGATTCCTCCCTACTGTCATATACTGTTATTTTTAAGAAATTTAAGAATTGGAGGGGAGATAATAATGTTAAAGAGCTAGCGAAGATAGAGGGTAAGTGGATTTTTGATGTTAATACCCTATCCCCGAAGGGATTGAATTTAGATTTTGAGTTTATACATTTTTTATAGGATCTATATATTGTTTATAGTATTTACTTTATTTGAACTATTAGATTTAGAAGGTTATACTTGCTTCTTGTCTAATTGGTATTTATGTGGGGAGTTCTATGGCCACATATTGCATTGTATAATTTTTCTAATTTTTCTAAGAATAGATTATCTTATACATCTTTAAATTTTTCTCTAGATATAAAGAGATTGATGATAGCTATCAAATATCTGTATTGTGTATGCTATATATAGATTATATCTTTAATTTGTGTTTTTTCTTATTCTATTATGATATTTTGCAAATATGGAGGCTAAGGTTGCTATGGGGACTTAATCATAACAATCTACATCCTGAACGCCGCGTTTCAGCGTGCGTTCCAGCCGGCCGAAAAACCGGAAGTGACGTCACCCGCGAAACCGGAAGTGACGCGACGCCGGTACGAAATTGGATCCAGGTGAATGGGACAGATAAGGCTTATAAAAGAAGACTCAATAGGACATGAAGACAAGCACTGGAGGAAGGCTGTTGGCCGAAACGCGTCTGCTTCAATCTTCTGCATTTGTATTTGTTATTTTATGTGTATTTCTGTCACTCTGGGCTACTATACAGATAGGGGTAAGTGGAATTCCATTATTGTTTTATATATATCCTTGTCTGTTTTGGGTTCCACCCCCATAGTGCCCAGCAGTGTATACACTTTTTTATATATTTTTATAAATAAATATATTTTATATTTAACCTTTGGAGTCTCATCTATTTGGACCACCTGGATCGTTAGCCAGTTATTGGCACCCCTGAGCCTGCTATACAGAGCCTGGTACTGCTCTGGAGAATGTGAGTGAGAATCACATACCTATTTATCACTTATTTATTATCATACAGTTTGCACTATGTTTTTTATGTTTTTTCTATTTTAGTTTATACCCCAATCAAGTTCTACGCTATTTACATTACAGTCCAGTTCTATATTGGTAATATCACTTATTTTTGTGGTGATCACATTGGGGAGGTGTATATACTGGTATTTGTCTCTTTTTATTGTATTATGTAAATCTGGTGTATAAGGGAAGCACTAGGGTACCGGTTACACCATCTATTGTATACTTTATACTATATACAGAATTGTCAAAATTACAGTGAAGCGCCTACGCACTATCCTTCTTTTTTTTCTGTTATTTATATACCTGTATTAAAATGCTACAACTATATACAAACACCAACTCTAAACACAGAAGAACACCTGCTCCTAAGTACTGCAATCTGTTTACTATCTTCGGAAATTAGTGTGTGTATCTATAGCAAAAAAACTAAATTTGGCAACAAAGAAAATATTACGCTCTGCTAATTAAAAGGTTTATGCTACAGCGCATTAATTTTTTGGGGGTGGTTCCAGGATGTTGATACACTATGTCAAAGGGTTCCACAGGAAACATTAATTGGGAACCTCTGGCCTAAGGTGAGGGTTACAGGAACAGCCAGGCTTGAAGTGTGGCGGATTTGGGGTGCTGTTATGCCGATCTACATTGACTATTTTACTCACCTGGGAACATAGTTGGATACCACTGCACTTTCCACCATGTAGCTTCTAAAGGCCTGCGGTTTCTGATCTGCTGCATTGGCTGAGGTAGTCTCTGACTGGTGCTGTCTGCGTCTCATTCGATAATGTTTGGCTGGTAACTGAGTGCTTTCCTTGGGGACTTATCTCGCATACTCCGTTATTGTCTCTTATTCCCACTTTCTTTTCATTCTTTTTTTTTTTATTTATTTCTGTATTGCTTGACATAAGATGTTACTTTAACATCATAGCAAAGTATTATGTATCATTCATGTTAAGTCTTAGGTTGGAATTAGGTCTTCCCCATAGGGATAGCATTGAATTAATGATTTATTATGGGGATTTGGAAGATGCTGGATGTACTCATGCAAAACACGAAGACGTCCAGTCTCATTTTACGGAGTTAAACAGGAAGCGCCTCTAGGGGAGTGGGGAACTGCACCCATACCACTTCACTGAGATAAAGTGGTCAGGTTGCCTTTAATTTGGACTCTCGTGCAGTGAAATTGAATGGGAATTGCAGTTCACATTACATGACCTGCAGCTGCCTGTGAAATTAATCAGATTGAAAGACTTCTTCCAAGCCATCGCTGCTCCGTGATCAATCCAGATTACGAATGTGCTCTGCAGACCGTTCACAAGATAAGAACGACTTTCAGGAACACGAAATACATTTTCCACCAAGAAACACGCACAAAAGAAGCATTTAATAATTACACAATTAGTTTTATCGTGATAAATCCTAATGATAGATTTGAATCTGCTCAATGAAATGACAGACTTGGATTGATATATTTTTACTGGCAATCAATAAAGATGTTCCGCACATGTTGAATAACGAGATGAGAGCTTTAACGCCACACAGAAATTGTAAGGCCAGAATCTGCAATGCATGACCTGCGAGCAGATAATGCAGACGTTCTATTGATATCCCGATGCAGAACCGGCATTCACATACTCGTAAATACAATGTACCGTTGGCATCATGATGACGTCTGTAATGGAGGCAATTTATAGATGGAAGATAATAATAATAATCTGCAGACATATACTTTGCACAGATTAATAACAGTCCTGAAGAAAATAATTTCATCGCTTTGCTTTTCTGCAATGCAATTCAGGAAGTCACTTTTTATAAATATTTAAAGGAAGTATTTTAAGCACCATAACCACGTATGCCCCCCGGACATATTTTGGAGGTGCCCTGTCACCCTTCATTATTTTCATTACTACTGATACAGCTTGTAAAATGTATTTAATTGATATTAAAGATGAGAACAACAAAGATGAATTAAAATTTTTGAAAAAAAACCCAATAATAAATAATTTTATGCCAAAATAGCTGAGCTGGAACAATAGCTAAATTTGTTTTCATTTCTGTTGTTTTGGCTTAACATGTGCAATTATTGTCAATTCTTCAAAATTCCTGCTTTATTGATTATTCCTATGTGTGTTCAAGTCTCTTAATAGAAACTCCTTCAAACGCTTGTGTGTTAGCGGGGCAAAACAAAAAAAATACTTCTCTGATGGTCTCCATTTTACAAAAACAAGTATTGTGGTTTATTGTTAGAGCAGTACTTAGAGCAGTGGTAACATCACTGCCAGAGAATCGGGAAAAAAGGTTTGAATCCTGGTCAGATCAGACCTGTACATGTCCCTGTGTAAGACACACCTAATGATATATAAATCTGACTACCTCAAATTCTCAGGTTTGAGCAGGACTTTCTTCACCGCTGATTGTAATTGTAAAGTGCTGTGCAGTATGTTGGCTGTATACCTAGAGGTTACTGTAATGGCATAGTTGGGAAGGTAGTACTCCTTTTTAGTACTGGTACTAGTTAGATTTGTCTGTAACACTACAATTTGGCTTAGTACCTGCGCTATAAAAAATTCCCCTGCAATATCAGCTTTGATTATAATATATATAATGGTACCTCTGCTCTGTGATTTTATAATAGATAAGAGGGAGAACGTACACCACAAAATGTAAGGCGGAGTATCTTACATGCACTTTCTTAGTAGTCCTTTGCATAGGTACATTTCTTATGGTATGCTCTAGAGAAAGTAAAATAGCAAAAAGATAGTGCAATATTGCTAGTACTCTTATTTTTGTAAGTCCAATCAAGTCTTTATAAATGCACACTCACAAAGGTGGAGCCACTAAAGATTGGGCTCAAGTTGTTCACTTTATGGGATGTAAAGGGTCCCACTCCCTCCTCTGTGCTTCCGGTTCCTTATGCAGGGTAATCACAGGCTCACAGGCAAAATATAATAAAATTACATTTATTAATATAAACAAAATAAAAAGAATATTAAAAGACCTTACAAGCTCTGTTGAATAGTCTTAGTAGCAAAACGCGTTTCGCCCCTTCATGGGGCTTCCTCAGTTGCTGTAAATCTTCATAGATGACTCTTCATTTTTAAAAGCCATTTACTGCCGCTTTTTTTCCTCTCTCTCTTCATTTCCGGTTCGCCGGACTTCCGGTTTCCGGTCCTTGCGTTCCACCCTTGGAACGCACAGCCGCCATGTGTAGCTTTCTTATGAAGTGCCGATCTCTTTTCATCCGGCTTTTGCGTTCCACAATTGGAATGCAATACAGGATTCCCCCAAAGTCTTTTGTTTAGAACATTTTTCACATGTTGTTTGCTGTTTAATTCTTTAGTTGGTTTTATGGCTAATTATTATGTAAAAGCATATGATGTACACAAAACTCAATGTATAAAACAATAAAAAAGGAATGTAATTTCTATTGATAATATAAGAAGAAGAAGTGCTAATACAAAATACAAAATATATATATATATAAATATAGAGAAAAATATATATGCATAAAAAAGGAGGAATATATTTACATACACACCACTGCTTATAGAGGTAATGTCTAAATGTGCATCAGACTCCTCATCTCTCTAAAAGGACAATGTTTCAGCTAAAATACGGCAGAATTCTTAAATGTAAACCTCTATGTTATGGCATATAGGTATAATAAAATAAAATAAAATACAATCACTCATGTTGTCATAGCTAAAAAAAATAAAAATAAAAAAAAAATAAAATAAAAAAAAAAAATAAAGAATTTGTTTAAAAAAAATTTTTTAAAAATTTTTTTTAAAATTGAAAATATTAAAAAAGTTCCGCTAAAAATGACATATCTCAAAATCAGTATTAAGACCATGCGGGGCTAGGGAATTGAATTCGAAGATACACTTCATTTCTTCTTTTCCTAATTTTCGAATATAATCTCCTCCCCTCCAGTCTCTCTTGACCTCTTTAATGGCACAAAAGAATAAATTGCTTGGATTTTGATCGTGCACTTCTTTAAAATGGAGCGGAACACTATGTGTCTCCAGCCCATTTCTGATGTTCCTGATGTGTTCCGCAATTCTTACTTTCAGTGGTCTAATTGTTCTGCCTATATATAATAGGTTGCATGGGCACTTCAAAATATATATAATTCCCTTTGTGTGACAGGTTAGATGGTCCTTTATACAGTAGGGTTTTTTTACAACGTGTCCTATGTCTTTCAAATGTCTTTTTTTGCTGTTAGTTGTTCTACAGGGTAGACAAGTCCCACATCCGTAAAAACCTTTTAAACCCTCTAAAAAATGACTAGGTTTTTTAGGGCTAAGGCAACTCTTAACTAAAATGTTCTTAAAATTCTTTGCGCCTCTATAGATGATTTTGGGTTCCGGCTGTAAAACCTTATTGAGAATAGGATCATCTTGTAACAAATGCCAGTGTTTTTTAATTATTTTCCTTATTTGTTTATTCCGTCCATTATAGTTGCAAATGAAGGGTATATTGTTACTATTTCCTTGCTCTTTTTTAGGTTTATATTTTATAAGCTCCTTTCTTGGTATTTCTTTTACTTCTTTAATATTTTTCTCTAAAATTTCTTTGTTATATCCCTTTTCTATAAATTGTTGTTTAATATACTCGGTTTGTTCTATATAATCGGATTCTTTTTTACAATTCCTTCGAATCCGTAGGAATTGGCCTCTCGGCGCGTTCTCTAGCCACGGGTTGTGATGGCAACTATTTCTTTCTATATACCCGTTGGCATCCACTGGTTTAAAAAAAATTTTTGTATTGATCTTATCATCCTCTATATATATATACAAATCCAAAAAGTTTATTTTCACTTCACTAATGCAGCTTGTTAAATGAATCCCCCAATCATTTGAATTTAAATACGTAATAAAATCATTCAGTTGATCATGGTTACCTGTCCAAATAAAAAATATGTCGTCTATGTACCGGCGATAGGACACCAAATATGCCCCCCACTCATGGCCCTGGGTAACGAAAGCTTCTTCCCAAAATGCCATGAAAAGGTTGGCGTAGCTGGGGGCAAACTTGGTGCCCATCGCCGTTCCACAGATCTGAAGATAAAATTCGTCCTCAAACCAAAAAAAATTGTTTGTCAGAATTAAAAGAATGCCCTCTAGAATAAAATCTATCTGTTCACCCTTAAAATCTGATTTGGACAGAAAGTGCCGTACTGCTGCCATCCCTTTCTCATGAGGTATTATGGTATATAAGGAAGTGACATCGCAGGTTACTAATAAGTAACCTTGCTGCCAAGTTGTATCTTCCAAAATTTGTAACATATGGATTGTATCCTTAAGGTACGACGGAGTTGCCAAAACTAACGGCTGTAAGAGAGTGTCTATATATTCCGACACTCTTGTGGAGACAGAATCAATTCCTGATATTATGGGTCTGCCGGGGGGCTCCGTGATGTTTTTATGCACTTTCGGGAGGTGATAAAAAACTGGAATTTTAGGATAAGTTACAAATAGGTATCCAGCTTCTTTTTCATTAAGTATCTTTAAATCTTTCCCTTTTTCTACATATTTCTTAAATGCATTTACAGTCTGTTTAAGGGGATTATATGTAAATTTTTTGTACGTTGTAGAATCTGATAAAATCCTTTTAGCTTCCTTCAAGTACTGAGGTCTGTTGAACATCACGATTCCCCCTCCCTTATCTGCTGGTTTGATTATCAGGTTGGGATTGTCTCTTATTTCCTTTAGTGCTTTCTTTTCTCCTACTGTTAAATTTTGTTGGTACTTATTCTCTTTTTTGTATTTCTTTACTTCCTTCATAACCATTTTTTCAAAAGTTTTTATCTCATGGGAAATGAGATGACGTGGAAAAAATTTAGATTTTTCTTTAAGTGATGTATGTTGGTATTCATCTATACTTTCCTTTTCTTTGGACGTCTGCTCTGTCCTTTTGTAAAAGAATTTCTTTAAACATAATTTCCTTATAAAATGGTTCATATCTATAAAAAAATTAAAAGCATTAAAATCCGCAGTTGGGGCAAACTTTAAGCCCTTTTTAAAAATGTTTATTTGTTCTTTCGTAAGTGGTTCATCTGCAACATTAAAGATTCCTTTTAGATCGATGTCTTCCCCCTCTTCTCTCTGTGGCTCCTTCCTATCTCTTCTCTTTCTTCTTCTTCTTCTATTGATCTTTGTCTCTTTCCCTGTGTGTCCCATAATTGTATATCGTTCGTCCATTTCCTTCTGTTCTGTATCAGATCCCTCCGAAAAAAAGAAGGTGACGGGGGAGTGTCTGGAGGTAAAGATTTGCTTATACTTCTATTCCTTGTCAGAGTAGGTTCTAATCTGTCACTATTATGCTGTCTTGAATTCACTATTTTCCCTATTTGATGTGTTTTCTGATAATGGTGTGGGCCTTCTTTTACCACATCACTATACATTCTAGATTTGGTGGCATGATAATGTCTCCCTATTTCTTGTGTGTTGATATGATCTCTATTCTTGTGGTGTCCTACTGCTGTTGTGTACTGTAGTTCTCCCCTAATGGGTGTGATAGGTGGATTCTGTGACTCTGAGATGAATCGTGAGTTGGATCTCTTCCTATTGATATCTCCCTCTATCCTTATAGAGCTTCTCTTCGGTGAGAATTTATGAGGAAATTCCCTATCGTCTCTTCTGAATTCCCTCTCTCTATTGGTCGAAGCCCTATATATCGGTCTCTCCTGATTTTTTTGTTTCCACATCTGTGCATTATATACGTTTTGGTGGAATTTTCCTCTATAGTTCCTTTTTCTATCCTTATTTTTGTTGTTATTGATATTTTCCTTTTGTTTAGGATTCCTCACATTTCCTGTTTCATAGTCATTTATATCCCTCTGATATTTACTTCTTTTGATATCTATAATCTCTGTTTCTATCCTATCTACTTTCTCTCTAATTTCCCTTAAAATACTGTTATATATATCAGGGCTTGTGGATTCGATCAAAAGGTTTTTCCATTTATTAATCTCTTCATCCAGCTTAGGTAAATTCTCCTCCCTTCTCGCCACTATATAGCCCATAGTACTAAATGAAAAACCATCTAGTAATTTGTTCCATCCTACCATAAAGTGAGGGTCATCTTTATCAAAACTAGGGTCTTTGAAGAATCTAAGACCCCTTGGGGTGATCTGATCCCTAACATATTTTTTGAGAGTGGCTATCTCCCACTTTGTTTTCATTTCCTTTATTAAGGCATTTTCCAAATTATATCTAAATTGGTTTTTACCATTGAGGTTTGAGGCTCCTTGCCTTTCTATACCTCTATCAAAACATATATCAATATTACTTGTTCTATAATTTCTGTTTTCAAGAAATGACATATTGTTCAATATAGCTCACTGGGTCCTCTGAAAGGGAAATATAAACAGTAATACAAAGATAAATAACAGTGACCCAATGTGTGCTACGTGCAACTGTGTAAGAGACTCTAACACCCTGGTGAGGTTCCCTTAACCTTCACCAAAAAAGAGATACAAACACCACAAAATGTAAGGCGGAGTATCTTACATGCACTTTCTTAGTAGTCCTTTGCATAGGTACATTTCTTATGGTATGCTCTAGAGAAAGTAAAATAGCAAAAAGATAGTGCAATATTGCTAGTACTCTTATTTTTGTAAGTCCAATCAAGTCTTTATAAATGCACACTCACAAAGGTGGAGCCACTAAAGATTGGGCTCAAGTTGTTCACTTTATGGGATGTAAAGGGTCCCACTCCCTCCTCTGTGCTTCCGGTTCCTTATGCAGGGTAATCACAGGCTCACAGGCAAAATATAATAAAATTACATTTATTAATATAAACAAAATAAAAAGAATATTAAAAGACCTTACAAGCTCTGTTGAATAGTCTTAGTAGCAAAACGCGTTTCGCCCCTTCATGGGGCTTCCTCAGTTTCTGTAAATCTTCATAGATGACTCTTCATTTTTAAAAGCCATTTGCTGCCGCTTTTTTTCCTCTCTCTCTTCATTTCCGGTTCGCCGGACTTCCGGTTTCCGGTCCTTGCGTTCCACCCTTGGAACGCACAGCCGCCATGTGTAGCTTTCTTATGAAGTGCCGATCTCTTTTCATCCGGCTTTTGCGTTCCACAATTGGAATGCAATACAGGATTCCCCCAAAGTCTTTTGTTTAGAACATTTTTCACATGTTGTTTGCTGTTTAATTCTTTAGTTGGTTTTATGGCTAATTATTATGTAAAAGCATATGATGTACACAAAACTCAATGTATAAAACAATAAAAAAGGAATGTAATTTCTATTGATAATATAAGAAGAAGAAGTGCTAATACAAAATACAAAATATATATATATATAAATATAGAGAAAAATATATATGCATAAAAAAGGAGGAATATATTTACATACACACCACTGCTTATAGAGGTAATGTCTAAATGTGCATCAGACTCCTCATCTCTCTAAAAGGACAATGTTTCAGCTAAAATACGGCAGAATTCTTAAATGTAAACCTCTATGTTATGGCATATAGGTATAATAAAATAAAATAAAATACAATCACTCATGTTGTCATAGCTAAAAAAAATAAAAATAAAAAAAAAATAAAATAAAAAAAAAAAATAAAGAATTTGTTTAAAAAAAATTTTTTAAAAATTTTTTTTAAAATTGAAAATATTAAAAAAGTTCCGCTAAAAATGACATATCTCAAAATCAGTATTAAGACCATGCGGGGCTAGGGAATTGAATTCGAAGATACACTTCATTTCTTCTTTTCCTAATTTTCGAATATAATCTCCTCCCCTCCAGTCCCTCTTGACCTCTTTAATGGCACAAAAGAATAAATTGCTTGGATTTTGATCGTGCACTTCTTTAAAATGGAGCGGAACACTATGTGTCTCCAGCCCATTTCTGATGTTCCTGATGTGTTCCGCAATTCTTACTTTCAGTGGTCTAATTGTTCTGCCTATATATAATAGGTCGCATGGGCACTTCAAAATATATATAATTCCCTTTGTGTGACAGGTTAGATGGTCTTTTATACAGTAGGGTTTTTTTACAATGTGTCCTATGTCTTTCAAATGTCTTTTTTTGCTGTTAGTTGTTCTACAGGGTAGACAAGTCCCACATCCGTAAAAACCTTTTAAACCCTCTAAAAAATGACTAGGTTTTTTAGGGCTAAGGCAACTCTTAACTAAAATGTTCTTAAAATTCTTTGCGCCTCTATAGATGATTTTGGGTTCCGGCTGTAAAACCTTATTGAGAATAGGATCATCTTGTAACAAATGCCAGTGTTTTTTAATTATTTTCCTTATTTGTTTATTCCGTCCATTATAGTTGCAAATGAAGGGTATATTGTTACTATTTCCTTGCTCTTTTTTAGGTTTATATTTTATAAGCTCCTTTCTTGGTATTTCTTTTACTTCTTTAATATTTTTCTCTAAAATTTCTTTGTTATATCCCTTTTCTATAAATTGTTGTTTAATATACTCGGTTTGTTCTATATAATCGGATTCTTTTTTACAATTCCTTCGAATCCGTAGGAATTGGCCTCTCGGCGCGTTCTCTAGCCACGGGTTGTGATGGCAACTATTTCTTTCTATATACCCGTTGGCATCCACTGGTTTAAAAAAATTTTTTGTATTGATCTTATCATCCTCTATATATATATACAAATCCAAAAAGTTTATTTTCACTTCACTAATGCAGCTTGTTAAATGAATCCCCCAATCATTTGAATTTAAATACGTAATAAAATCATTCAGTTGATCATGGTTACCTGTCCAAATAAAAAATATGTCGTCTATGTACCGGCGATAGGACACCAAATATGCCCCCCACTCATGGCCCTGGGTAACGAAAGCTTCTTCCCAAAATGCCATGAAAAGGCACCCCTTTTTTATTGTTTTATACATTGAGTTTTGTGTACATCATATGCTTTTACATAATAATTAGCCATAAAACCAACTAAAGAATTAAACAGCAAACAACATGTGAAAAATGTTCTAAACAAAAGA